ACTGCATACCCTAAACCCTAAACCATTCAAGCGCCGAAACAGTGTAGCACGTTCCAGATTTGGGCCTATGCATGTGTGGTGGCAGAGATGGCTGCAACCCAAGCTTCTGAAAGCTTTGTGCCGACATCTTCCAAAATAGACCTTACGGTGTTGGAAGGGTTTGGTGTTTAGGAGCATGTTTTGGAAGTGTTTAGGGTTTCCTGTGGTTATAAACGGGTCCTCAGGTTTTCAGAGGGTTTCATAGATTTTGCGTTCACGTTCCTCGGTGTTGTAGAAGGTCTTGGCGAGGCTTTCTGGTTCGCGAGTAATTATGGCGAATTGAAACCAGTTTGGAAGGACCTAAGCCCTGCCCTCTCATATGTAAACTGTGCAAACCCTCAAGCCCTAAAGCCCTTATCCCAGAACCTGCTAATCCCCGAAACTCTACGCCAAAAACATCCGTCCTAGAACCCTGGCCGCCCCTAAGACACCTAGGCCCCAAGACCCTGTAACTCCAAAACCCTAAAAGCCTTACGCGCATCAACCCTGAATACTAAAGCCCTTACCCCAAAAGGCCGTGGCACATAGTCTAGGACAATTTCAGAGTAGTTACCGTTATAGGAGCCTTATAGAAGGTCTCTATATAAATATATATCTACACCTTATAGAAGCCTTATAGAAGCCCTATGTACCCTAAACTGCCCACCTGTAGTTTCCTTTAGCATAGGGACCACCTACACGAGCAGAACTTCATGTAGGCCGGCCCAGAGCTTCTCGACTCCCTTCCTTGAGGAACATACCAATGTGCCTTAAATCATCATGGGGATCCTACTATTCACGGTTTAGGGTTTAGGGTTTCGGACCCTACAAAATAGCACCCCTTAGTTGTGGGGCCTAACCCTCAAAAGAATAGGTTTTCGGATCCACAGGTATTACTTAACGAAGGAATACTGGAAGATCCGGCAACGTGCCGGAGGCAGTAGTCGTTTAACATCGCTATGGACGACAGAGAGGCCTATTGGGTCCCTAGACGCCCCTCCCCACAGGGGAGAACCATCCCTGCTTATTATGCGTGTGTGTGTGTGTGTGCATTTACAGATAAATAAATAAAAAAAAGAAAGACATAAATAAACGTAAGTATATACAGATATATATATATATATATACACACACATACACACATACATACATACACAACAACAACCTGTGGGCAATGGTTGGGTGTAGAGGTTTGGCGCGGGCGTAGAAAAAAGGTAGATTTTCGTCTTCTTGAGCCTAAACCCGAAGGCCCTACGGGTCCATGTGCCCAAATAGTACATGCTTGCCCCCAAAGTAATTAGCTATATAGGGACTACTTTATTGCATGGACCCTTCGGGAAAGGCTCTGGGGCGGCCCTTGCTCCAGGGCATCGATGCCGAGGATATTCCAGGGGCTCTGGATTTAGAGTCGATCAGGACCCTCTTTCAAACAGGAGTATACTGGGCTTTGGAGTACCATACTTTTATACTTTTTTGGGGGACCTGCTCCTGAAAGGAACCATTATGAAATAAAAGAGGAGCGGGAGTTATTTTTTCAAAGTTGCTGGCGCTGGTGCTGATGGTGGCAGTGCTTTCACCTGAAGTGTTGAAAACACTAGTTCTGGTGTAGGGTCGACTTATGGAAGGTACATAGGTTGGTGTAGGTTAGATTGCTCCCAGCACTCCAACCTTGATGCCTTCGAATCATGCAAAACCCTACTCCCCGTGAGCCAAAACTTCAAGACATGTAACACCCCTGTTTTGAAGTACAACAACATCTTGCATTCTCAAAGGAATGAGCCCCGAACCTAGAAATGCATCACGCAGTCCATCTCAAGGGACTCAGAGGATTCGTGCTTAGGGTCCTTGGGTATCAGGTTGTACGGTCTACCTGTTTAGGGCGGTAGGCTTCGAGTTTAGGAAGGCCTCTACAGGCTCTGGGAAGTTCCCTAGTTTGAACTTCTGCTTTCTCAGGAATGCCTTCAAGCTACTAGAGGGGGCCTAAGTTAAGTAAATACAATATTATTCCTTCGGGCTCCTCATCAAAACTATATACTATGATATGCCCCAAAACCTTTTCTAATTATTCCCCTAAGGGTCCATGTGCCCAAATAGTATATACATTGGCCCTAAAGTACCTATATAGGGACTACATTAAGGCCAATGTATATACTTTTGGGGTACATGGACCCTTAGGGCTCAGTCCCTAAACCCTAAACCCTAAACCCTAACCCTTATATTAGTCAGATGAGGGTTGACGCTTCAGGCTGAGGATTCAGGGTGTGCCGTGCAGGGTGTGCCGTGCCCGGTGCGCGGCAGTGCACGGCTTTGTATTAGGTTTAGGGTTTAGGGTTTAGTCGTTTTAGGTGGATCTTGAATTGCACATGGCTATTTGGTTTAGGGTTTAGGCTTTAGGGTTTAGGGTTTAGGGTTTAGGGTTTAATTAGTCGTTTTAGGTAGATCTTGAATTGCGCATGTCAGCTTCCGAGATCTACAGAACCAGATGACTTTACGGGTTTTCGGTCATATTGGGGATGAGGCCCCTAGATACTTCCTGCCTTGTAGACTAGCCAAAGAGAAACCCTGAAATCTAAAGTCACAAACCCTCCAGGCCCATAAAGACGGACTAAACCGTAAAACACCTGCATAAACCCTAAACCCTAAACCCTGAACCCTAAACGCATCTGGAAAAGGCCCTCGGGCAGACAAAAGAAAGCGCGTAGCCCGAAACCCTGTGTCTAGGGTTTCGAGGTGTACTGGTTACCCATAGGCCCTAAAGTGGTTCCTTTTTTGGGGTTACCTTATAGGATTCTATATATGAACCCCCAAAAGGAACTACTTTAGGGCCTATGGGGTAGGGCAAGGAAAAAATCAACAACATAAATGCCCTCAGCCAAATACAACTCTCGCAGGAACAACTCGGGCTGATGGTAGGCCTCGTCTCGGCTCGAAAGCTCACCAAGGTGGAGGCCCAGGGTTCACGGGTTACGGTTATTTTACTGCTTGCTCAAAGGTTTTAGGGGTGCTATGAGGCTTGCGAGAAGGGTTTAGGGTTCCTGTATGGGCTACTATAGGTGTCTTTGAAACCAACATCTGTCTAGAGTTTACAGTTAAGATCAGGAGCCATGTAGTCTCTGGGATGTCTTGGACAGGTACAAAGAACAACCACAATTTAAAACAACCGGCACGCATGCAACACTTGACACAGCAACAACCGGCAAACAACCACAAAGCAACAACAGATCACACAGCCGAGCCTTGGTCTGCTGGTTGGTTCTTGTGTTGTTGTGTGTGTTTTAAAGTTTTGTTTGCTTTCCCGAAATAAGAGCAGGTTGGAATATCATGCAAGTAGGTAGCGAAACACACGAAACAACGCACGAATCACAACAACAACAACCACAAACCATAAACCAACAAAATTGCAAATCCAAATAAAGGGACACGCACAACATATTTCTCTCACCCCGCCCTCTCCCATGCCAGAAGTTATTGGAAGCTATTGTGTGTTATATTGTCTATCTTTTGTTTTTGTTTGTGCAGACCTGGTTGCTTGGGTTTTCAGAGGTTGCAGCAGTTTCCGTTAAGTCTGCACTGTTCTTAGTACAAATACTACTCATAATGCCAAAAGCCGTACTATTACTTGTACTGATAAGGCTACTAACGATAATCAAAAGAACAATAATAACAACAGCTATAAGGATGAGGCCAAATACCAACACAAAGTGATAATTTTTTTACAAACAATACGAGACAAGGGTAGGATAGACAGAGTATTATGACAATAGGTCATAAGCGGCCCCACTAACTGTGGAGTGGTAGAAAGAGAGGTATTGAAATCCCCGGCTACAACCAGTGTGTCCCGTTTTGGGCTTTGTCGAACCGCCTCAGACAGGGTTCTTAGGACTGAAGCTCGATCCTGTTTGTTATCGTGCTGTGTCTTCTGAGAAGACCACGCGTGCTGGTAGACAGCCAGGACGGCCACTCGAGAGACATGCCAGTATGAGCGACAAGGTAAGCATCTCCATGAACGTGTTGGCATTGAGACTCAAGCGGCGATGCATCGATGACCAGATCATGAGTCCTCAGCAGCACCTCCGCTTGTTGAGTTCTGCTAGCGGTCAGCTGATCAACTCTGCTGAGATCGGCTTCGTGTGGCGACCAAGGGTCGCTGGCGGCCTGAGGCCGCGCAAGCGATTGGCAAAGAAAACCAGGGCATCGAAAGTTTGCCTGCGCAAGTTTTTTTCGCCTAGCCTTAGGGGTGCAGGCATGCCAGCAAGCAATTCGACGAGACCACCACAAACGCACCTAGCTCCATGCGGAGCTATGTACTCCCAGCCCTAAACCCTAAACCCTAAACTGTACTCCGAGCCCTAAACCTTACACCTGCAACCCGGGAGGGCTATGAGTTAAACCTATAGGATTCTACAGCCGAAAATGCCGACGCGTGACACACCACTGCCCCAAGACACATGCAACTACCCTAATCAATCAGAGACAACAGCATTCAACCAACAGAAGTGCGTACATATACAGAAGCATACAAAAGGAATCAAACATAGATGAGCAAATAGGTAAACACATGAGTAAACGTTTGTAGATGCATGTATACGTTTGTTCATGTATGGTTTGACTTGTTGGTAGGTTTAGGTGTTTTTACTTGTGCCTATAGTGAACCCCAGAAACTTGAAGCATGGATTTAGGATGGATGGTGCTGAGATTTCCTATGCCTAAACCCTAAACCCTAAACCGAAGATAATACTGTTCCTACTTTCTGGCTTTTACTTCAATCCCCGTTAAGCCTACCTGGACCTCCAGAAAGCAGCCTTGTTTTAAGGGTTACTGCCAGAATCTAACAGCCTAAGCCAAAAACCCTCAACCCTAAAACCCTAAACCCTAGGCCCCTAAGCCCCTAAGACCCTAAGCCCTTAAGCCCCTAAGCCCCTAAGCCCCTAAGCCCTAAGCCCCTAAGCCCCTAAGCAAACTGCACCTGGAGCAGCAAAAAGGCCGACCTTCCCGGGCTTTCGCCGACAGCTGCGGCATGCAGCGCGCTGAGTTCTGGAATCGGGGTTTAGGGTCCTGTAAGGGGTCCTACAAGGGCCTTTAGGGGGCCCTATAAGGGCCTTTAAGGGGTCCTATAAGGGAACTACAAGGGTTCAGGGCTTAGGGGTTGAGTTTAGAGGTCTAGGGTTTAGGGATTCTGATAGGGTTTAGGCATCGGTTTAGGATGTCTAGTCAGCTCAGTTTTGCCAGGGCTTGTACGTAGAAGGGGGTTCGTGTCAGGAGCCTACCAGAATTCATCATAGTATGGATGTCTGATGTCTCGTAAACAAGATGTTCCTCAGTATGGACACCGAAAATCACTGCCTTGAAGAGAAGTCAGGTTGGGTTTCTTGAGTCGCTGGGTTTACTTGTGACCCCAAGCCCTACAGCATAGTAGGCTATGACCTCTTAATTTGTGGGTAGAACTCTCAGAATGGTAGGTTTTTGGATCCCCAGGTAGGAGTTTGACGGGTTTTGCTTAGAGGTGTAGGCTGAATTACGCGAGCTTAGGGTTTTCCGGCTAGGAGAAGCCGCGGGATTTAGGGTATTAGGGTTTAGGGTTTAGGGTTCTAGGGTTTTGGGTTTCGGGTTGAGGGTTCTAGGGTTTAGGGTTAGGGTTCTCGGGTTCTCGGGTTTGGGTTGAGGGTTTTTTGGACAAGCATTGACAGAAAAGTACCACGATCACCCGAGCTGTAAATCCCTTGAAATTCAAGCAGCCTGAGTAATTTCCACGACTTCCCCTCAAGGTGACTCGTGTAGCACTGTATGCTTCGAAACCCTACTCTAATCCCTAGACCTTAGACCCGAGACCCTTTTGCCTCGATTAATTAGGGTTTAGTGTTAGGATTTAGGGTCTCGGGTAAGATATAACAGTTACGTACAGCAACCAATATACCTTGTTAAGAAAGATGTGACCCTCCAAATGAAGACATGTCCCTTCATTCCCTTGTTTTAGAAGGCTCTGAACCTAAACCCTTGGCAGCTATAAACCGCCTACCCGCTTACAAGGATGCCACATTGTGTTATGGGGGTTTCATGGTTCCTTTAAAGGGTTCCTATAAGGGATCTATAGGGTTTAAGGATTAGGATTTTAGGGGTTCGGGGTTTGGGGTTTAGGGGTTGGTGTTCGGGATTTAGGGGTTGGTGTTTAGGGTTGGGTTTAGGATTAGGGGCCGAGCTTCGGTGTTCATAGGCCCTAAACCCTACAATAGAAGCCAGAAAGTTGGAACATGGGTTTAGGAGGATTTGTCTTAGGATCTCTTATACTTTACCTTAAGGGCATGAGGATAATGAGGTTCCAACTTTCTGGCTTCTACTGTAAACCCTACACCGTAAACCCCTAAACCCCAAACCCTAAACCCTTAAACCCTTCATAGGCCCTAAACTCTACCCATAGGCCCTAAAGTAGTTCCTTTTTGGGGTTCATATTTAGAATCCTATAAGGTATCCCCAAAAAGGAACAAACCCTAAACCCGAAACCCGTTTAGGGTTTAGGGTCGGGTCGCGTACAGCAGATTGTTGGGACCGAGACTTTCCTACACCCAAAGATGTTGCTTGGCTTTCGATGGTTTAGAGTTTAGACCCTAAACCCTAAAGCGTAAGGACTTAGGGCTCGGGGCTTAGGGATGATTGAATTCCACTTCTGAACATTTCTATACCGAATCGTTTCGGAATGCAAGAAACCTTGCTGTGGACGGCACTAAACAAACCTGCTAGAAACAAGACCCCGGCTGATAGCTAAGGCGGAAGCCCCCAAACTTTAGACCCCAAGCCCAAACACCTCATATAAGGTTCAGGGCTTATAGGGCTTAGGGTTTGGGGTTTAGGGTTTAGGGTTTATAGGGTCTCGTGCCAACCCTGGGCCCTAAACCTTTTAGGGTTTAGGGTTTAGGGTTTAGGGTTTAGGGTTTAGGGTTTAGGGTTTAGGTTTTAAAGAACCTGAGCTATTGAGGCCTCGCGCGGACCAAGCCTCTCGGGCAAGCCTTGGATCGAAAGCTGCAGCACGTCCGGGGCTGTGCTGGAAGGATCGTGGGACTTAGTAAGTAAGGTTACGGTTTAGGGTTTAGGGTTCAGTAAGGTTATAGAGTAGTTGGGTTATAACTTATAACTCGTAACTGATTCGATTTACAAGTATACCTAGCACAGTTGTGACCCTAGCTGCTAGCTACTAGGTCCTATGACTCTTCACGTGCACTTTCACGGAGTTAGGGCTTCGGAATGTTTATGGTTTAGGGCGTGGTAGGGTTTTTGGGTTCAGGTTCACCCAATCTAAGAAGGATTTAGGGTCTCTGCAGCGGACTTAGTTTCTAGATGTAGTATGTACCCTAAACCCTAAACCCTCCTAGTCCTCCTAGGATTCTGGACAAGCGTAAGCTGCAGAGGTCATGGAGCCGAGGGGCATGGACTTCCTTGGTTTGGGCCTCGGAATACGGTTTAGGGTTTAGGGTTCAGGGTTTAGGGTTTAGGCTTTAGGCTTTAGGCTTTAGGGAAGGAAAGGGCGGCTCATGCGATCAGACCTCAGAAAGGATAGAGCTTCGGATGAAGGTGTAGGCGGTGTAGGGTATGCCCTAAACCCTGAACCCCTACACCGTATAGGCTAGGGTGTAGGGTTTAGGGTTTAGGGTATATCCTACACCCCGAACCCCTAAACCGTATAGGCTGGGGCTTCAGCAGATTGGGTTGTAGGACGGGGTGGGCAGCCGGGCAGAACCCCTCGGGCTCCAAATAGCCCAAAGCAGGTAACCTATGTGCTATTAGACCCTCCGGCTGTCAGAAGTACTGTAATTGGGGTTCTAAGTAGATACATGTGTCATATATATATATATATATTTACAGAAAGAGAAAGAGGGAACCCTGAACCCTAAACACATGAAACTGAGTGCTCGGAGCGCTCCTCTTACATGTTCACTCGCTCCGAGGATCCAGCATATTTGTGTCCGCCAGCGGATTGAAGATATCGGTTTAGGGTTTAGGGTTTAGGGTTTAGGGTTTAGGGTTTAGGGGTATCATTCAAGAGTAGCGTAGAGTTTCTCTAAGGGTCCATGTACCCGAATAGTATATACTTTGGCCTTAATGTAGTCCCTATATTGTACTTTAGGGCCAATGTATATACTATTTGGGTACATGGACTTTTTAGGGATCTGTGTCTCATTCAAAAGTAGCATAGAGTTTAGGCTGTTGAAGGTTTAGGGGTTTAGGGTTTACCAGCACCCCGCAACTACCCTCTAGTAAACCCTACATACCCGCTATTGCGGACCATAAGGGCTCCATTGAGGGGTAGGGGGGGGGGGGGGGGGCTGGTAGCGGTTTAAGGATTAGGGATTTAGGGTTAAGGGCAGTTTAGGGTCGTTTACATTATGCCCCGGCCGGTGAAGTCCCGATGCGCATTTACCGGAAGATAGCCCCAAACCCTACCCCTAGACCCTAGACCCTAGACCCTAGACCCTAAACCCTAAACCCTAAACCCTAAACCCTAAACCCTAAACCCTAAACCCTAAACCCTAGCCTATCGAGCTATGATTTGTCGACAACCTTCCAGGGCCGCCTTCTTCGATCCTTGGAGAAAGCTCCTACGTAGTCTTGGGGAGACCTCTTAAAGGGGACCCTGCTTAACCCTACTTGGGTTTAAGGGTTTAGGGGCTTAGGGCTGAAGGGTTTAAGGGTTTAGGGTTTGGGGTTTAGGGTTTAGGGTCTAGGGGCTTTGGGTTTGGGGTTTGGGGTTTAGGGTTTAGGGCTTAGGGCTTAGGGCTTAGGGTTTGGGTTTGGGGCTTTAGGGGGTTTGCATTGGCCTACAGAATCCATACAGGACGCCGTATAGGACAGGCAATACGATTAAGCCTCCTTCAGACACAACAACTTCAAAAACGCGATCAAGCTTTCAAGTAAAATTCCCATAAAGACCTCTACGCAACGGAGCGCAGAAGACTTTTGCAAAGCTGAGAGCCCTAGATCCTAGGCTAAACCCTAAACCTTAAATCCTAAAACCTAAACCTTAAACCCTAAACCCTAAAGCCTAAGCCCTAAACCTTAAATCGTAAAACCTAAACCCAAAACCCGAAGCCCTACACCCGAAGCTTAAACCCGAAACCGTATACCTTAACCCCTGAAGCCCTCAAACCCTAAAACTCTGAAACCCTGAAACCCTAAACCCTAAATCCCTAAATCCCTAAATTCCTAAACCCTAAAACCCTAAACCCTAAAACCCTAAACCCCAATCAAACCCCAAACCTTGAGCCTCTAAACCCTATAATCTCTATAGACCTCAAACCCTAAACCCGACAACCTTGAGCCTCTAAACCCTAAACCCCAAGAACCCCAAACCTTGAGCCTCTGAACCCTAAACCCTAAACCCTAAACCCCAAACAAACCCCAATCCTTGAGGCTCTAAACCCTTCTGTATCACCCTAAACCCTACACCCTAAACCCTAAACAAACCCCAAACCTTGAGCCTTTAAACCCTAAACCCTAAACCCTAAACCCCAAACAAACCCCAAACCTTGAGCCTCTAAACCCTATAAACTCTATAGACCTCAAACCCTAAACCCGGCAACTTTGAGCCTCTAAACCCTAAACCCTAAACCCCAAGAGCCCCAAACCTTGAGCCTCTGAGCCCTACACCCTAAACCCCAAACAAACCCCAAACCTTGAGCCCCTAAACCCTTGCAGCCAGGCCAGTGCTTGCGTCTGCGAGATGACGATCGTCTTTCAGCTGCTGCCTCGGAAGGATAAGGGGGTTTAGGGTTTAGGGTTTAGGGTTTGGGGTTTAGGGTTTAGGGTTTAGGGTTTGGAAGGATAAGGAGCCGCCACGATGTTCATGGCCACACTATACC